AAAAAGAATGTTGTTAAGGTTGAAAAGTCAAGCATTAAAAACATTAGCAAATACCAGAAATAAAGTTGCTTGTGCAGCCTTAATTCTACCACTTTGTGCATATATGATAGCCTTTTATTATTTGATCTGTTTTTTTCCATTGGGTCCCAGCCTCATTCAGTGCAAAGTTGTAAGGTATGTCATTAATGCTGTGGGGTATAAAGAGAATAGTAGGTTTTAGTCATAGGATCTATCCCTGACTTTGCACAGAATTCCTGTGATGTTTGGCAAGTCATTTAGACTAAAATTATCAGAAGCATCCACTAATTGTGTATTGCTCAGCACTGTTTTTAAGCACTCAACCTTGAGATACATAGGACTTGATTTCCAGATTTACCGACCACATAACAGAATTTGATACCAATACGAGCAGCAAATGTGCCGATTGTTTAAAATTCAGGCCCTTGGGGTTTCAAATAGACATATTGAGAGTATTGGCCTGACTAGCTTTGTTGTAGTTCATCTAAGTAATGAGGGTAAAATTAACTCTGTACCTTACTGAGGTGTAGCGAAGATCTATTACCATTGTGAGGTATAATAACAGTAGAAATACCCATGAAGAAGTACATGACTTTACACAGTGAATTATAAAGATAAAAATATTGACCAACTACCCAATTCCTTGTGCACTGACTGAGGCTAGAGTCATGTGAAAAATAGTAGTATGTGTTTGTTTAATTAAAGAATGTGGTAAGTAGAGCTGCCAAGAAAACAAAAGCTTTTTCTTGTGAAAAAGATTTTTAGTTTAAAGAAGCAATTATTTCTGAGTCCAGATGAAAAGTCAAAACATCAAAAATTTTGTTGGGAATTAAACTCAGAAAAAAACTTTGGAGAACTGAAACATTGATTTGGCGTGCCAGCTGCCTGCCTCTACAGCGAGCAGATGGCCTGTCTGATTCACCTGCCTGGTTTGTGTTAAAAGTTTTGATGGAAACAACACTTTCCTATAGAATATCTGAAAACCACTGAATCAGCTGTTTCTGATAGAAAAATGTTCTATCATAAAATGTTTGACAAGTTCTTGTCGTAATACATATGCACAAGGGGACTGAGCTTGAATGTCTTCCTAAACTGCTAGCTTGATCCCACCCATTCTCTACTGTAGGTGTACTGGGGGCGGAGTGTTGCTGCCCCTAAGCACCTGCCCTCCCCATGCTCTGGGGCCGGGGAGGCTGGGGCCATGCGCTATCCTCCCTCCTCGTGCTCTGGGTCTAAGGTGGTGGCTGGGACCGTGTGCTGCCCACCCTGCCCAAACTCCAGGGCCAGGGAGGCTGGGGACATGTGCTGCCCGCCCTCCCTGTAGAGCTGGGCGGGGGAGGGACTTGGTTCCTGTGGGTACAGGGCCTGGGCAAAAGGGATGAGGCTGGGATTGCCTTCCCCAGCCCTATTTTCACCTACCCATGCAGGTTTCCTTTTACCCATGCAGGTTTCCCTGTACCTGATTGAGAATCACTGTTGTTAGGGTCTCTCACCAAAGGCTCTTAAACAAGTAAGCTGTCATGGGCTAGGAGGGATGGTCCTTTCATAGATTGATAACTGGTTAAAAGGAAACAAAAGGCAGGAATAAATGGTCAGTTTTCATAATGGAGAGTGGTAACTAATGGTGTCCCTCAGGGGTCTGTATTGGGACCAATCCCGTAAATGATCTGGAGAAAGGAGTAAACAGTGAGGTGGCAAAATTTGCAGATGACACAAAACTGTGAAGAGCATCAAAAGGATCTCACAAAACTAAGTGACTGGGCAACAAAATGGAGAATGAATTTTAACATTGATACATGCAAAGTAATGCATATTGAAAAATATAACCCCAACTCTATGTACAAAATGATGGGGACTAAATTAGCTATTATCACTCAAGAGAGAGATCTTGAAATTATGGTGGCTAGTTCTTTGAAAACAATGTGCAGCAGCAGTCAAAAAAGCAAACAGAATGTTAGGAATCATTTAAAAAGGGATAGAGAGTAAGACAGAATATTTTAGTGCCTCTATGGCTGTGTCTACATTGGCACCCTTTTCCGGAAAAGGGATGCTAATGAGACAAGTCGGAATTGCAAATGCTGCGGGGGATTTAAATATCCCCCGCGGCATTTGCATGAACAGGGCTGCCGCTTTTTTCCGGCTCGGGGCTTTGCCGGAGAAAAGCGCCAGTCTAGACGGGATCTTTCGGAAAATAAAGTCTTTTCCAGAAGATTCCTTATTCCTGATTTTAAGAGGAATAAGGGATCTTCCGGAAAATACTTTATTTTCCGAAAGATCCCGTCTAGACTGGCGCTTTTCTCCGGCAAAGCCCCGAGCCGGAAAAAAGCGGCAGCCATGTTCATGCAAATGCCGCGGGGGATATTTAAATCCCCCACGGCATTTGCAATTCCGACTTGTCTCATTAGCATCCCTTTTCTGGAAAAGGGTGCCAATGTAGACACAGCCTATATGAATCCATTATACACCTACATCTTGACTACTGCGTGCAGATGTAGTCACCTTATCTCAAAAAAGATATCTTGACACTGGAAAAAGTTCAGAAAAGGGCAACAAAAATGATTAGGGGTTTGGAACGTCTGCCATATGAGGAGAGATAAATAAAACTGAAACTTTTCAATTTGGAAAAGAGGTGACTAAGGGATGATATGATCGAGACCTATAAAATCATGACTGGTGTTGAGATAGTGAATAAGGAAAAGTTATTTACTTGTTCCCATAACACAAGAACTAGGGTCTCAGAGGGGTAGCTATGTTAGTCTGTAACTGAAAAACTTGAAAAACAACAAATGATCCTGAAGCACCTTAGATATTAACAAAAAATGTAGATAGTATCCTGAGCTAATGTGGGCACAACCCACTTCTTCAGATGACTGGGGCAAAGGGTCCAGAGGTACAAATAAATAGCAGAAAAAGAGAGGAGATGAGGGGGGAAAATCTTGTCTGTAAGTGCCCGATACTTAGCTTTTGATGTCATTTAAACGTTGAATATAATGGCCCATCCAGTTCATGTCTTTGTTCAAACCTTGGTTAAATGTGTCAAATTTGCATATGAAGGCAAGTTCCACAATTTCTCTCTACAGCTGGTTTTTGAAATTGCTTTGTAAGAGTTAAAATGTTCCCCAGAAGGTTTCTATGTGTTACCATTTTGAATATCTGATTTGTCTCCACTAATTCTTTTTTGTAGAGACTGTCCAGTTTGGCCAATATATGTGCAGAGGGGCATTGTTGGCACTTGATGACATAGAACACATTGGTGGACATGCAGTTGTATGAGCCTCTTATGTAGTGGGCTTATGTGGTTAGGTCCTGTGATGATGTCGCATGTATAGACGTGTGGACAGAGTTGGCACCATAGTGTTCCTGACAGCTTGTAATCCATCATCGTGTGGAATGATGATGTAAAGCAGTGGTTCCCAACCATTTTGAGCATAAACAGAATTCCCAAAATTGGACAGATTCTTCTGTCAGGCTAAGAGTGTGGTTGGATAGGTTAACAGTGTTGTTAGGTGAGTTGAGGGTCACCAAATGAAATTAATAGGTAGCAGTTTTAAAACAAACAAAAGGAAGTTTTTCTTCACACAATGAAGTCAACCTGTGGAACTACTTGCCAGAGGATGTTGTGAAGACCAGGTCTTTAACAGTGTTCAAAAAAGTACTAGATAAATTAATGTAGGATAGGTCCATCAATGGCTATTAATCAGGATGATAGAAATGGTGTTTCCAGCCTCTGTTTGCCAGAAGCTGGGAATGAGTGATAGATAGGAGGGATCACTCAATTATTCCCTGTTCTGTTCACTCCCGCTGGGGCACCTGGCAGTGGCCACTGTTGGCAGATAGAATACTGGGCTAGGTGGACCTTTGGTCTGACCCCAGTATGGCTGTTCTTACCCTGTGGGAACTGTCAGTTCCTCAGTAATTTAGGGTATGTCTAGAAGGGGGGGTGGGGAGGTTCGCGGCTACTGAAGGTATCCTGAAAAAACTCTGCCACGTCCAGGGAACACGTTTGCTCTTCCACTTTTTTTTGAGGCCGAGCAGACGCTCTTTCAAAAGCCCTGTCTTCCTGATGCCAGGAGGAAGAAGGGATCTTCTGAAAGAGGGATTTTTTCCGAAATTTGGCCCAGTTCAGAAAAGCCTCTTCAGAAAAAAAAGCAGAAAAAGGTACCAAAATGCCTTTGCATTTTGCGTATCTTTTTCAGCAAAAACGTTGTAGTCTAGACATAGCCTGGGGGGGAGGGAGGTGAAGTTATACATGAGCAGCGCAGCGCCTACAGCGCGACCGGAGCTGCGCTGGACAGCGGCGGTGGGGCAGCAGCGCCCCGGGGCGGCGC